TACTGTAAACATACATTAATAAAAACCAGTATGCTAAGTTTAAAAAAGAACTTCAAAAAAATAAGCAAATAAACAGAATAGATACTTCCCCAAAAAAGAAATTCAAATCCCCAAGAAGTGTATGGAAAAAAAACATTTAACATCTCTAGCCATCAGAAAAATACAAAAAAAACCCCCTCTATATTGGGACAAAAACTATATTGAAAATGTGGTATTTACATACAATGGAACTCTACAATTAAAGAAAGTCACTGGTAGGAAAAGTCACTGAGTCATTTGTAGGAAAATGAAGGCAGCTGAGATTTATTACGTTAAATAAAATAAATCAGACGCAAACTTAAATATCACATTGTTTCTCTTATATGCGAAATGCAAAGTATAAATAAAGAGCAAAATAAAAGATAATAGGAAGTAGGGACACATCTTTCTCAATAGGGAACAGGATCAAGAGATGGAGGAGAGGGAAAGAGGAGAGGACCAAGGGAATGAAAAAAAGATGTGTACATTATGTGTTGCAAACATACTAAAAAGCAAGGGGCTGAAGAGGATGGATGGAGGGAAGAGAGAAGGGAAAGTGGATATTAAAAAGAAGAAATTAAAATGTACTAGAGCCAGGCTTAGGAGCACATGTCCTTAATCCCAATCCGAAGCAGGAAGATCACTGTGAGTTTGAGGCCAGCATGGACTACATAGCAAGATGCTGTCTTTTTTACATCCTTGTATTAGTTCCCCATAAGGATGTAAACACATGCACTACACAAATGCACTACACTGAGCTCCCATCTCTGTGCAGTTAGAATTGGTATCATCAAGAGTACAAAACAAAACTGAATGCTAGCCAGGATGGGAGGAGCATGTTGACTCTTGTAAGAATGTAAATTAGTACAACTACTAAGGGAATCAGTATGGAGACTTTTCAAAAGAGAGAACTCAGAAACACCATTTGAGCTGGGAGTAGTGGTACACTTGTAATCCCAGCACTTGGGAGGCTGAGGCAGGAGGATTGCCATGAACTCACTGTGAGATTTATGGTGAGTTCAAAGCCAGCACAAATTACAAAGTGGGACTGTCTCAAAAAACAAAACCAAAAAGGAAAAAGAAAACAACAACAACAAAAATAAAACAAAACTACATTTGACCCAGTTAACTACTCTTGGTAACATTCTCAAAAGAATGAAAGACTGCTTGTTATAATATTACATACATACCTATGTTTACAGCAGCATAACTTGCAACAGTTAAGCTATTCCTATTTGAGAAATCTAAAAAAATACATAAATTAATAATTAAGTAATTAACATAAAGAAGAGAAACCAGGCCAACTTCTGAAGATGGAGAAGGAGCTCAGCAGGAAGAGGAGGAGAAGGGAAAAGTAGGTAATGGGATTAAATTTAAGATATATTAAATAGGGGGCTGGGGATTTAGCTCAGCGGCATAAGAGCCTGACTTATAAGCAGGCAGAGGTGAGTTCGATCCCTGGTACCGATAAAAAGGAAAAAGACAAAAAAAAAAAAAAAAAGATATATTAAATAAATATATTAACTTTCTAAACTAAACACCATCACCACATAGCACTAGCATAATTTAAAAAACAACAACAAAAACTCAGTTAAAAAAAAACAACAAACAGCCTTCTGGCATGGCATTGCATGCCTGCAATACCAGCATTCGAGACTGCCATGGGTTCAAGGCCAGCCTGAACTACACAGTGAGACACTGTCTAAAAAACAAAACAAAATGAAACCAAAAAAAAAAAAAAAAAAAAAAAAAGGAAAAAGAAAACAACCTGATTAAAAAAGGAGTCAAAAACTTTGACACTTCACCTAAGATATATGGCAAATAAGCATATGAAAAAATGCTCATCATCAGGTCAAGGAAATGCTAATTAATACAATAAAGAGATTACATGCTTTAATTAGATGGACAAAATCCAGAACACTAAAGCAAACATTGATGAGGATAGATAGAGAGATAGAGACTCTAACTCACTGCCTATTGGCATGCAAAATATATCTACACTTCAGCAGTTGCTTACAAAACTCAACAAATGCTCTCTGTTTCACTGTCTCTCTCTCTCTTTTACCTAATCCAGGAATGATGCTCCTTAGCATTTAACTAAAGGAGCTGAAACAAGTCCATACAAAAACCTACAGGTGGTTGTTTATAGCAGTTTTAACACAAGTACAAAAACTTACAAGCAACTAAGATATCCTTCAGTACCTGAATGGATAAACTGGCACATCTAAACAATGAAATATTATTCAAAGACAAAAAGAAATGAACTATCAAGCCATAAATACATGTGGACAAAACTTAAATACATATCACTATATGAGTAAAGTTAATTCTATGTGATTACAGTTACTGGAACAAGAAATTCTAGAGAAGGCAAAACTATGAACACAGTAAAAGGATTAGTAGTTGTTGTCAGGGAGCCAGGGATACAGCTCAGGGGCACAGTGCCTGCTTGGTAAATGAGAGGTCCTGAGTTCAATTCCCGGCACCATAATAAATAAATAGACAAATATATAGTGGTCCTTGCCAGGGACCAGGAAGTAGAGAGATGAACAGAAAAAGCCCAGATGATTTTTAGAACAGTAAACAAAATATATGTGTGTGCATTTTATATATTCGTGCTGTTGGATAATTAGTGATCAGATGTGAAGACAAAGGACAGGAGGTTTTACCTCTTTAAATAACATTAAAAGTAAAATCATACAGTATTTATTTATTTTTTGATACCAGAATTGAACTCAGGACCTTGTGCTTTACAGACTGGAGCTGTGCTGCTGAACTGTATCTCCAGCCCCCATACAATATTATTAAAAAGAAAAAACTATGCATTAAGACATAGCACAAGAGACCATTAAAATGGACAAGTAATAGATATGAGGTGCAAACAAACAATATGATGAAGTTGTTAGGTGTAATGCGGTTGTTATAGTTGAGTGATGGTGTATTTTAAAGTGTGTCATAAATTGTGGATCATAAACAACTGGTTTCACTGGATATGCACCATACTACTGCTTCAGATTCCAGTTTAAACAATGTTATCCCTAGAGATGAAATTTGGGTCAATGGTTACGGTCCTGAGACTAAGCAGAGTTGTCAATGTGATTTTCACTTAGTTCTTATCACATGAATAAAGCACATCAATCAAGATCCAACATCAAGGTGATGTTCTTACCTTGACAGAATTGTTTAAGTTTGTATCCAGGAAAATTAGGATAAACTCTAAATACTATAGCAATTTATTATTTAAGAAAGGATGTGCATAGGAAATGGACTGAGAAACGGGCAATTTCATTCTCCATCACAAATTGCTTCTATTTCAGGAAGTTACAAAAAAAAATTACAGCGGAGCAGGTAGCCTCAATGAAGTAGAGAGGCAGGTGTGGTTGCTACTGTTGCTATTTGCTGCTTCGCTGCCTCCTACCTGTTCTGCGATGCCCCTCTGCAGTGCCACCTTGCCTGGAACTAGCCAACTATGCTCTGAAACCTCTATAAACTGGGAGCTGAAATAAACCTTTTCTCCTCTAACTTTGGGTGTCAGGTATTTTGTCTCAGCAACAAATAACTAAGCCACCTTTTTCTCTATTTCCCAATTTTTTATTTTTCTTGTAACAACATTGTCTCCCTAATTTAGCATGCTGTGGAAAAACTAAGTTTGAACTAAAAATTACTATTAAACTATTATAATTTTATTAGCAACATGTTATATTCAGGTGAGCCAACTAGGTGAGAAACTCACATAACTGAAAACATTAGGACAAACAGCAATCATCCTTATTTAGTTTAGATCAAACATTTTAATCTTATTAATACCACGTCATTAAACATTACAAAAATAAATACAAACTAGCAATGTAGTCAGGATTATACAAGACTGGACTGGCATCAGTCCATTACTTGATTCGGTAGTATAGTAAGTCCTAAATGTACAGAAGAGTTCCATTCCAGGAGAATATTCCTAAATCAGATTCGCTGTAAGTCTGATAAAGTGAGTCTTACAAGTCTTTGACACAAATATTCACTGCTTATGGCTTTGTGCTAGCTAGCCCTCCACATCACCATTTTTCCTCTTGCTTCAGACATCATGGGCTCTGATTAAGCTCTGTACTACTGTCCACTCTCACACTGTCCTTTCTTGCACATACCATAATCACACAGCAGCACAATTCCCAGCACACACATGAGCTACTTTCAAGATTTGTACACATTTATGAATGTTTCTAATGCTAGGTCCCTTCATACGTGTGAAAGCTCACTACTAGAATGTTTGTATACTATAAAAATATAGGGATTTGAAGTACTAAATGGACTTCAAAAATGACAACAGGTTGGGGCTGAGGATTTAGCTCAGTGGCATAAGTGCCTGCTTTGCAAGTGCGTAGTTTGTGAGTTTAATCCCCAGTACCAAACAAACAAACAAACAAACAAACAAAAAAATGACAACAGGACAAAAAGAGTTATCCTCTAAAACTGAAGCTAATGAGAACCCATAGTGATAGCATTTTTTAAACTCATCCTTTCAATTTGAAAATAGCTTCCTTAAGGCAATTCAAGAATGTTTAACATCCAAAGGCATGAATAGAAACATCTCAGAGGTATATTATGCCTGTTTAACTTTTTTCAAATGGCAAGTTTTACAGTAACAGATTTAAGAGAGCACTTCTTTAAAAATGTGTTTTCTTAGTATGTGTTTGTGGTACAGAATAATGATGTTCAATTAGGACAACATTTTCTAAATCAGCAGAGTATTTCTACTTATCAAAATGTCACTCATCCCTACTCACCATGAAAAGGAACACTTAAACTTCAATTAATTTGAACAATCACACACTGATATTATTACTAACTAGTAATGAAATTTTCAAGGAAAAAATGCTCAGTACATTTATACCTATCTGATAACAGAATATTCAATAAGGAATAATTGAAGATTATGGAGACAAAAAACAAAACAGCATGCAAATTATAAACTGCACAAAGAAACTTACCTTGTAATTTTTTCAAAACGGCAACCTCCATTTTCAGAACTTGCTTTGGTTGTTGAGCTGATTCCACCTTCAATGCGACATTTTCCCTGGTGAGCATGTCCAAGGCATCGTAAATTTCTCCAAAGCCCCCACCCCCAATCTTTCTCAACTGCACAGAAAATAAGAACACACTCAAAATTATGAGAAGATTCTAAGTGAGAATCAATTCACTTCTTACATTTAGAAAATAACATAATTTTACAATCCCTGGGGTTTTTTGTCTTTCAGTACTGGAGATCAAATCAAGATGTACTTTACCACTAAGCTACCTCTTTAGAGCTTTGTTTATTTTTGAGACAGGTTCTTAATAAACTGACAAAATAGGACTCAAATTTGCAATCCTTCTGCTGGGATTATAGGCACAAGCCGTTAAAATCAGCTTATTATCCCCATTTTTTTGGTAGGGTGGGGTACCAGGAATCAAATTTAGGACCTCATGCTTGCCAGGCAGGTTTTATACCACTGAGCTAAAATCTCCAGCCCCATTTTCCTCATTTGATAATAAAATATTTCAGAAGCTAGGTATGGTGGTACACACCTGTAATTCCAGCACTTTAAGACCAACATAAACTGAATAGGGAGACCCTGCCTCAAAAATCCAAAAAACAAAATAAATAAAATAAAATATTTCAACACTGTTAAATTAGCTATGTATATTGCAAGAAAAAAACAAATGTCTGAAATAACATCAAATTTCCCAAATCTGTCCATTAAAAAAATGAAATTGTTTTAGTCACATACAATTTTTTTGTGAGCATTATTTTTATTGGCACAATTTATAATAAACTTATATATGCATTCATTTTGTTTTCTGGAAAGCTGATTGTTAAAAATTATGTAACACCAATGCTTATGGATTAAATTTTAAAGTTTACCATTACATCAATAAATGAAGTAGAAGGGACTGGGGATTTAGCTCAGCGGCGTAAGTGCCTGCCTTGCAAGCAGGCAGTCATGAGTTCGATCCCTGGTACCGATAAAAAGGAAAAAGACCAATAAATAAATAAATAAATAAAGTAGAAGTGAAAAATTTAATTCCCTTCCAAATTACATGCAAGATGAGGACTAGGCCTCACCAGATTTGAAAGTATCTTCTCCCATCCCAGGTATCTTTCACTTTTCTGGGGAGGTGGATACTGGGGAGAATCACATACGATTTTAAAATATGGTTTATAGTTAAAATCAGAAATGTTGCGCATGTGTGCACTCACACACATATATACAATACAGTACCTGAAAAAATCACTTCACACAAATGTCACTCAAATGAGATTTGTTGTCTTTTTTTTTTTTTTTGAGACAAGGTTTAACTTTGTAGTTCAGACTAGCCTTGAACGTAGGCCAGGCTGGCCTCTAATTCACAACAATCATCTTGCCTCAACCTCCTAAATGCTGGGATTACAGGCATCCATGTTGTTTTCACTCTAAAACAGTCACTGTCAGACTTTTTCAACCATAGATTCTTTTGCCAACTGAAATCATATCTGCAATCCATCTGGCATACATGAGTAGTTCAAAGTAAGCAGCCAGCACCCTGCTACCCCATTAGGTACTCTCTCCTCTCAGATATAACCAACAGGCTCCAAGGAACAGGAATAGAGCTGCTCTAAACTATCCCAGATCTCACTGTATATCCATACACTGAAGAAAGACTGAGCTGTAATCACTTTAAGCACTTTCATCAAACCCTTAATATACTTCCTGATAAAATGTTAGTTTAACTGGGGGACAGTAGGATCTTAGTCTGAATACCATGAATAAATTCTGAACAGATAGTGACAACAGAACCTGTAAGATTCTGATGAAAAACTGGAAAAGGGTGATATACTCTGAGCAAGACACAGCAAAAATCATTTTGTTTTTGTTTGGTTTTTATTTTGAGACAGTCTTGCTAAGTCACTAAATTGCCTAGGGTAGGTTCAAATTTCAGATCCTCTTGCCTGAGCCTCAAAGTACTGGGATTAATGTGTACACCACCACAGCCTTTGAGAAACCACCCTCATTCCATTTCCAGAAAGGAGGTCATCTTCCCCTTATTATATTATCAAACAGGGTATGATAAAATGTAGGAAGTCATCAGAAACATGGGGTCTAAAATTCTAACCTCTCAAGGGACCCCAGTTCATGTCTTTTACACTTTTCCCCTGGAATCTCACTGATTACTATATCCAGGCTGATTTCTTTATCATCTAAAATTTATCTGGGAATTATCGGTTTGATCATCAATTAACCATTTTATCAGGTCGTACATCAGATATCACTTACATCATTCTATTGCATTTTAATTCATGTTACTTAACTTTCCATTGTCAATGTCCTATTTTACTAGAAAAAGTAAACCAAACACAGGGATACTTGTCCTAATTACGTCCTCACAACACTTGGCAAAATGCTAATTACATAATTATTATTTAACTTTATTTGCTTTGTATGTGTGAGCCATAATTGTTCTTTATTTTTGTTTACTGAAGGGAATACAATGAGGAACTACACACACACACATACACACCAAGTAACAACAAAAAAGAGTATTAAAATAATGATACACACTATTGAAGGGATGTCCTTTTAATTATGGATTGATGAGAGGTGGCTTATTGTTTTACTTCAAAAGGAAAAAAACCTTACCAAATGGCAGAATAAAACATCTAAGCTGAAGCAAATGATTTTGTTCCATAGTCTGTTTCTATCATACCATTTGAACATTAGAACCATTAGTTTATTTTTATTATATTGTTGAGAAAGACCTAAGATATTACAATGTTCCCTAAGCAAAGAAACAGAATCAGTTTAGTATTACAGTGGTACACAGATTAAAAATAAATTAGAGGGTTATGGCAGACAGCGTTTTCCAAAGATGGCCACCAACAATATCACCATCCTTGTTCTTCATTTGTGATAATACTCTTTCCCTTAAAGAAGAAAATTGTGACCTTGTCACTCCTCCATTTAGAAGCAGAGTCTACTTTCCCTTTTCATTAAATCTGGGTCAACCTTGTGACTGTTCTAATCACCAGAAGAACACACTGTGTGGGCTCTGAGAAGAGCACTGAGCCAGCCTAGCACTTTGGCTTCTCATCTCTGGAAAGCAAGCTACCATATAAAAAGCATTGCTATCCTGAGAAGTCATAGCCTGGGAGATTTGCTGGAAAATGAGCCACTAAACTGAAGCAAGTGAGAGCAATAAAGACTCCAAAATTCCAGACAAGGGAGTAAAGAAATCAGTTGGGAGTGGATTTCCAACCCAACCAATGCTGCTATGCCACAAAGGTCAGAGACAAATCACCTAGCCAAGTTATTACTAATTACTAGTTCTCAAAATTGAGAACAAAATAAAATGATTGTTTTAAGTCTCTGTTCTGATATAGCTTGTTACACAACAACAGATAACTAAAACACTACTCTTAATAATTTGTCTATGGTTTCTTACTGAAAATGTCATTCTTTCTTCCAGTTTGAGGGATAAACTAGAAGAGGGATATATTAGCTCTCATTACAAAGATAACAATGCCATCCCAAACAAGTCTTCACTTGTCAGCTTCTGATGTTTCCATAAAGAATAGCCAACTTATACCACAAAACTTGGTAAGATGCTCTCCCCAAACTAACATTCAAGTTTGACCTACATAAAATGTTAGCAACTGCTATTATCTCCTTGTATCAAACTATTATCATGATGTGGTTTTTACAGTCAAATTTTGAAAGCATACTGACTTAGTGAGTAAAATATACTGTACTATAGAAACAAAATTTTATTTCCCCCCAAAGGAAACTAAAGGAAAAAAAAGTGTTGCGAATGTAGCTCTGTAGAAGAATATATGCTTTGCCTGTGTGAGGCTCTTGGTTGAATATCCAGTTGGAAGAATGAATATATAGAGACTTCCCATCTATTAGTTGATTAAAAGAACCATCAAAATAGCTTTGTGAAACCTGCTAATGGAATAAAACTGTGGTTGGAAAAAACTGAATAGCAATAAAAATACTTAAAATGTATTCAAAACAAATTAGCTCCTTTAAAAATAGTAATCTCGGGCCAGCGATTTAGCTCAGTGGCCTAAGCACCTGCCTGGCAAGCGCAAGGTTGAGAGTTAGATCCCTGGCATCAAAAACCAAATAAATACATTTTTAAAATTAAAAAAAATTGTGGTCTCGCCAGATGTGCTCAGTAGGGATCCTGTCTGAAAGCAAACAAACATGCTGGCTGCGTGTGGTGGTGCACACCTGTAATCCCAGCACTTGGAAGGCTGAGGCAGAAGGATATTTATTGCTGCAAATTCAAGGCCAGGCTGGGCTACATGATGAGTTCAAGGCAGCCTGAATACATAGCAAGACCTTGTATCAATAGAAAAAAGCAAACAAATAAAATAGTAATCTTAGAAAGATGGCCAATTCCAAGTCCAGGACCAGGTATAGCACTGCACACCTGTAGTCCCAGTACTTGGCAGGGTGAAGCAGTTGGATTGCCCCTAGTTCAAGGCCAACCTGGGCTACACACAGTGAATTTAAGACCAGCTTGGACTATATACAGCAAGACACTGTCTCAAAAAACAAAACTAAACCAAACAAAACAACCAATGTCAGGTCCAAGGCAAGAAAGCTATTAAAAGACTTAGTACAATATAAGAAGAATTCAGGCAACAATTTGAAGGATATCCCCAAGTCAAATAAGACATTTGAACATCTATTAGGATAATAACTACAAAAACACATGAAATGTTTAAATCCAAATTGTATCTCCAGATAATCAAATAGTTGATTATAGGAAATTTTTCTTTTAGATGTATTTCAGCTAATAAATGAAAGAATGATAGAATACCACTAATTTACAAACTCTAATGAGTCATCAGACCAAGAAAATAATCACCAATAAGTACTAACATCACAAATAAGATGGACAATAAAACATTATAGGACAGCACTCAGAAGGCTGAGGCAAGAGGATGCTGCAAGTTGGAGGCCAGTCTGGGCTACAAAGAATTCAAGGCCACCCTGCACTACAAAGTGGACCCTGTCTCAAAAACACCAAAACAAAACAACTAATCAAAACAACACAAAAAAACTAAATCTAATCATACATTTAGGTATAACTGTCAATCTATATTACATAGATAAGACAGAAAAACATGTCAACACCTCATGGAAGCAAGCATATACCCAAACCAGATTCTACAGGCAAATTACCTAGAAAAAACAGGAAGTGGGATGGAGAGAGGGGCAAAGGGAGAGACGAGAGACAGAGAGACTAAGGAACATAGATTTAAAAGAAACAAGTAATGTCAACCAATTGCAGTACACAGATCTTCCAGGACCTAGATTCAAACTGCTAAAAATAATTTATAAAACAATCTGGGAAATATAGAAACTGAAAAGATACTCGATGTATTAAGAATTTTTTTTTTTTTTTCAGCCAAGTGGTGATTCAGATCTGTGACCTGAGCACTCTGGAAGGCTGAGACAGGAGAATCATAAATACAATTACATCAAGACCGTGTCTTAAAATATAAAACAAAAAAGGGCCTAGGATGTAGCTCAGCGTGGAAGGTCCTGGATTCAATCACCAGTACTAAAAAAAATGAAATTACCTTTTTAGGTGTGCTGATAATAGTATGATTAAGCTTTAAAAAAGAAACCCTTATGATTTAAAGATAAAGACTGAAGTATACACAGAAGAAATGGTAACATTAAAAACTGCTTCAAAATGGAAGATGATGTTTGCTCTACTTTCAAAGACTATTGTTTTTCATTTGTTTTTTCTTAAGTACACTTATTCAATACTAACTATTGCAAGTTAGGACAGTATAGCATTATATGAATATTAACAGAGCTTACTTACAGGAACCATTATGAAAATGCCTGCTTTAGGTAGATAAGCAATGTAGGCACTATTTTCTGAAGAGCTACTACAGCATTTTTCATCAGGCTACCAAAGATGGCTCCTCCGTACCCGCCCCCCACCCCAAGCAATCACCACCCGGCTGCGCACTCACCACTTTCCATCTTTCTTTGACCAGGATTCCAACGCTGAGGATGTCTGGCTGCTCTCCTCCTCCACTCATTGCAAAACACTGATGCGGAAGAACAGCTACATAGGCATCCAGCTCCCAAAGGTGGTTTCCATTTAACCTGGAAAAAAAAAAAAAAAGCAGCTGCTTCTCAGGGATAATTAACACAACATTCTAGCATCAAGAAGCACTATTAATCCTATATATTAGTTAGACTGCTTTAATGGAAAGAGCGAGGGGAATAAATTGTTCCAAAAATGGTTTAATGCACATTTTAAAAACTACATTATCTTTCTACTACAGATGATTGCAAAAGTATAATGTAAAAGTACTACAGTGATTACAAAATTGTTATAGCATGGATACCACAATATTTACAATAACTGAGAATGTGGACTATAGAGCAAGCATGGAGTCAATCCAGATAGACTACTAGCTGAGTAGAACATGCTACCAAAGACATAACTTAAGCATCAATTTATAGTTTGTAGGTTAGAACAGTTTAACATCATTAGAGCTAATTTTTTTTTTTTTGAGGAGGGTGTTTCTAATAGGGTCTGACCTTGAACTCAGTGTGTACCTCAGGCTAGCTTTGAACTCATGGTGATCTTTCTGTCTCAGCTTCTCAAGTGCTGGGATTACAGTTGTGTGCCCAACTCTTTTGAGCTAGTAATATTTTAATATTACAAAATAGCAGCATGACTGCTGGAAGTTCAAGGCCAGTCGGGGCTACAAAGTGAGTTCAAGGTCAGACTACATGGCATAGTAAAACCCTGTTTCAAAAAGACAAAAATAGGAAAAAACAATTTTACAAAATGCACTTAAAATGCATAGGAGATAAATATGAATATAGAAAAAGGCCACTGATTAAATATTACACAATAAGATTACAATAGAAAAGGAATAATATTTTAACAGCATTCTTGCAGAATATGAGGAGCAGAAATAGCCTAAAGAAGATCAAAACTATAACCTAGACTAGAACTGGGAGAGATACAGAGTGACTTTCAGGAAACATTCTTCAGTGGAAAAAAGCAAGATGCATAAAGGGCTAGGCATAACTGCATTTTGAGTAAAAGAGAAATGAATGGTGAGTGTATGTAAATTTTTGCTTATTTTGTGAAAAAAAAAAAGGAAAGATAAGGCGGAAAGAGATGAAAATGATTCTCAGTGATAGGAGTAGGCAAACTTTTTCCCTGGAAGGTCAGAAAAACATTTTAAGCTGTATAGACCATGCACTGTCATAGCTACTCAATTCTGTTACTACAACATAAAAGAAGTCATAAACATTATGTAAACAGATTGAATGTGTCCCAGCAAACTTTTATTTACTAGGGGAAAATGGTAGTTGGCCAAATATGGCCTGCAAACAGATATTTACTAAAATCTACTCAAGAGAAAGGGGAGGGGAGATAAAGGGAATTAGGATAAAAGCCAGACTTCTACAAATGTATCTTACAGTTTTCATTGTTTGAACCATGTAAATGTTTTATATATGACAAAAAATTTTTCCTTCCAAAAGCTAAAACTAACATAGTGGGCTAGGGATTTAGCTCAGAGGCATAAATGCCTGCCTAGCAAGCATGAGGTCATGAGTTTGATCCTGGTACCAAAATAAAATAAAATAAAACCAACATAGTGACAAATAATCAGCAAAACTGGGCATACAGCTGTAATCCCAGCACTTGAGAAGCTCACACAGAAAGATTACCATGAGTTCAAAGCCAGCCTGAGGTACACACTGAGTTCGAGGCCAGACCCTTTTAGAAACACCCTCCTCAACCCAATTTAGGTGATTGTGGTTCATGCCTGTAATCCCAGCACTCAGCAGGCGGAGGCAGGAGGTGGCTAATGGTAATGAATGTGAGAGACAGATACTACTTAGCCTGCCTGACCAATCTTTACATTATTAAATGATCTGACAATGAGCAGTACACCACTGACATTGGGAACCAAAGTAACACTTTGACCCAAAGCCAAATTCTGACTGGCCATTCAGGAGAGGTCTGAGCATCATTGCAAAAACTTTGAAAATTTAACTTACGTTAAAAACGAATCACATGGAAGGCTAGTCAGAACTGGCAATGTGAACATAATTGGTTAGCTAAAAGAAAAAAAAACAATGTTTTCTATATCATTTGAATAAATTTCAAATCTCAAAAAATAATTTTTTAGCAAGGGATTTGAGCTCAGCGGCTTAAGCACCTGCCTGGCAAAAGCAAGGTCGTTAGTTCAATCCCCAGTGCCAAAAAAAACCTAAATAAATAAAAACCCCAAAATAACTTTTTAAATGTTGAGCATGCAATCCATAATTACCAAGCATACAAAACCAGGAAAATCTCAACTTACATATGAAAGGATAACCAAAAGATGCAGGCACCAAGATGACAGATTCAGGACGTATTAGACAAAAACTTTAAAGCAGCTACTATAAAGGAATGTGCACACCTAAAAGTGAACAGAGAGATACAAAGTTTCAGTACAGAAACTAAAGATAGTGTAGAAGACAGTTTATTTATGAGTAAGACAGGCAGCTAGTGGAAGGGCCTGAGATACAGTGGAATGACCAGTCACACTGACGTAAATTAGGAAGAAACAGTGAACTAAGACTCTCGACATAGAATGACTTTCCTCAGGCTACATGGAATACAGCTCACTCCCTAAACAGTACAGCCACTCTCTCCTAAGATCCATAATTTTGAGGAAATTGTAAGGCGAATTAAACAGTTTACTATAAACACTGTGGAAATACTATGCTAGAGAGCCTGAGTCTCAACTGGTCATTTTAAATCCAAAGGCATACTTGTGATAAATGATCACTAAACAATTAAGCAATTCCTGTACCCTACTTGCCTATAAATAATTCTAAACAGAGTGGTTATGTGGCCACTCATCAAGAACTCCACCTGGAAATCCAGGAGCTATTCTCTTTCTCCTTTCCAGTAAAACTCCGCTAACCTCCCTGTCTGGTTTGCAACTTTATTCTTTAAAGTTCGCAGAACCACAGACCCAAAATATTCAGTATCAATGTGAAGTAGTAAGCTAATTTTTTTTCTTTTACAGTACTTGACATTGAACCTCACATATGCTACACGTATGCTGCTCACATATGCTACAAGCTCACTCACTAAACTGAAATTTTAGAAGTGAATACAGTAATTGACACTTTAAGTTGAGGAAGTCAACAGGAGAACTGTCAAACGAAAGAATAAACTCAAAAATAAATCTATAGAAATTATCCAATCTGCAGAGAAAAGATTTTCATACATGAACATAGTCCCCAAAGACCAACGCGACAATACTTTTTACTCTTAACAAATACTTGTGTCATTAAGAGTTGTAGAAGAGAAAAATGTGTAGAATACAAAAAAAACTGAAAAGTAGATAAAATTATCCAATTTGAGAAAGAGATAAAACAGACTAAAGAAGCTCAGTGATCAGGATAACAAAGTAAAACCATAAAGCACAAACCTCACTCCCAAGCACATTATGACTAACCTGCTAAAAATTAAACATAAAGAAAAACACTTTAAAACATTCATATTAAAATATGACTCCTTATTTATAGGGAACAACAATTCAACTGACTGAGTTGGCAGAAACCACAGAGGCCAGCAAGACTAAAAAAAAGTGTATGTGTGTGTGTGCACGTGTGTGCGCATGTGTGTGCACGCGTGTGTGTGTGTGTGTGTGTGTGTGTGTGTGTGTGTGTGTACGTGTACGTGTTAAAGTACTGTTGACTCAGAATTTTGTATCCAGAGAAAAATGTCCTTCCAGGGTAAGGATATTCTCAGATTTAAAAAAAAAAATTAAGACTTTCAGTAGACCTGATCTTAATTACCAAAATAAATAAATAAAAAATAAAAAGCTCTTCAGAGAAAAGGAAACATACTGGAACAGAAGACCAGGATTGAAGGAAGAGGAACAGGAATCTAGGTAAACTGCAGGTCTTGTTGGCACACATCTGTATATAGTGGCCACACTCAGGAGATTGAAGCAGAGCTGCCTTGAGTTCAAGGTCAGCCTGAACTAAATAATGAGACCCTGGCTCTAAACATCAGAAAAAGAAATGTAGGTAAACAGACTAATAATCTCTTTAGTTTTTAAAAGTATATCTCATAATTAAAAGCAAAATTAAAATACTGTCTGAAGGAATTTTCAAAATATATAGATATGAGATGGTTGTAACAAAAAAGGTAGAATGGTAAGGAGATTTAGATGCTTGTGCTTAAGCTTCTGAATTCATCTTGGAGTGGTAATAATTCTTTTTTTTTTTTTTTTTGGTCTTTTTTTTCATTTTTATCGGTACCAGGGATCGAACTCACGACCGCCTGCTTACAAGGCAGGTGCTTATGCTGCTGAGCTAAATCCCTAGCCCCGGTAATAATTCTAACTAGGATGTAAAAGTAGATGTATTTGGCTAGGGATGTCAGTGGGGGAAAGCTTCTACTACCCTCCAGGAGGCCCTATGTTTATCAGTGTGTACATCGGTGTCTGTGTCTGTGTGTGCTGTAAACCAAAGAGAGCATTTTTAAAACCACAGAGTAAAGAAACAAAACAAAACAGAAACTATGCAGAGATGCAAAAACAATTACAATACCAAAACATGCTAAAATAATCCACAAGAGCCAAGCATGGTGGCATATGCCTGTAATCCCAGGATTTGAGAGGCTGAGGCAAGAAGATCATTGCAAGTTTGAGGCCAGCCTAGGCTACATAGTGAGTTCAAATCCAATCAATTTTATGGGGAACTCATTTCAAAAATAATGATACATGGCATTGTTTTTGATGAATTAGGCACCCATGTGAACATCATATATCAGGACACTGTTTATTATTGTTGCTCTGAATGAATAATCTTTTCTTCATTTTCAAGACCTACATTCACCCTGGAAAACATCTGCTGTATAGTTTGATCAATCACTTCCATTCTGTATATTTGTATAATGTCATAAAGTCTTAAGCTGCAAGAGTTACATACTGAGTGTTTGTTTGTTTGCTTTGAGCAAAGTAGATGGATGTTTTTGCTATTATAATGTGAAAACACTTCTTTACAGTATTTTGACTAAAGTTGTGTGTCTGATATTTGTAAGTACATGTGATTTCTGTATTTCTTATAAGCCTATTTTATTTTCGATATTTATTTTATTTTGAACTGTACAGTGTTTATATGATCTGAACTCCTTATACGTAATGAGTATATTAATGCAATTATGGACTTAAACATTTTAAAAGTATAAATATCCTTACTTGCTGGTAAAGACCAGTGTATAGACATTTGCTTTTAGCAATATTTTTAAGTGCTGCATTTTAATGCCAAGGAGTAAGTCTTGGCAACACAAACTGGTCAGTAATAGGTAATGTAAGTATGTTCAGGTTAGGCCAATAATGTTTTGCATTTGTATGCTTTTCTGTCAACACTAACGAAGTCAACATTGCCTGACTGTCTGAATAATGAAATACATCCCTATTTAAAAGTATGTAACTAAAAAAAAAAAAGGATGTAACTAAAAAAAGAAATAAAAAATAAAAGATGGCTTTTCTTAAAAAAAAAAGATTCATGAAGGCTAAAAGCAAAGACAAAATATATACCATGCAAATAATAATCAGGAAAAAAAACTACAGAGTTTTGTTTTGTTTTGCAGTGTTGGGAATTAAAATAGCTACTGTACTCTGAGATATATCCAAATCATTAAAAAAATGTTTTTTAATTTTAAGAGAGGATTCTCACTAAACTGCTAAATCGACCAGCCTGGACTTCAACTTGCCATCCTCCTGCCTCCTGCCTCAGCCTCCCAGAGTGCTGGGATTACAGGTATGGGTCACCATGCCTGGCTAATAATGTCTTACAGATGTAGACATCAGAGTAAAAAAAGCCACTGGAGATAAAGACATTATATAAATGTGGAAGAATTACAAAGAAATTCTAGCCAGGAATAGAGTCCCAGATACTTGAGAGGCTGAGATAGAAAGACTGCTTGAACATAGGAACTTGAGACCAACCTGGACAACACAGTAAGATCCACCCACCCCACTCCCCACAAGCCTATAAAATTAGCAGTACAAAAAAATTATAAATGTGTAAAAAGATCATCAAAACACATGAAATAAAAATTAAATGAGCCGGGCATGGTGGTGCACACCTGTAATCCCGGCCCTTGGGAGACTAAGGCAGGAAGATCATCATGAGTTCAGGGCCAGGCTGAGGTACAAAGTGAGACCCTGTCTCAAAACAAAACAAACAAAACTAAATGAAAGGAGAAATAGCCAAACACATATCATAATTGGAGACTACATCACTATTCTAAAGTAATAACCAGACGTAAAATTAGTAAGGTATAGAAGACTAAACAAGTGTCATGGTATAATTAAAAAATAAACCTGGTTGTGAGATTGTTATCATAGACAGCTAAATTAGAAATTAATAGGCAGTCAGAGGGATTAGGCCCTCTAATCCCTCTAATTCACACAGATGATGAGACACACCAACATAGTGGCTGGAGGAGAATCTGAAGAAAGAAGGCTTCAAGACAGAGATGCAACAGCCTGCAGGCCTTCCTGTAGATAAACAGCAGCTTGAGATTATACTGTGCTGTGATTAGTACCACCTGCTCCAGTGACCCCCCAGATAGGCATCAAATGCTCAGGTGGGTGACTAGAACTTCTGTACACATCCCTTCCCAAAAATACTTTTCTTTCCATGTACCCTTGCTACGTGCCAAATTTCCCTACTGGATTAATATTAGCTAAGCAGCTGTACTTGTAATTATATATGCTGATTATAGTTTGACACACATTATACTTACGTTGTAACTCTGCTGTACAATTATATCTGACAGAGGGCCGAGGCGGGGGACATTTGGGACTCCTCCTGGAAATCTAGGAGCTAGTCTCCTTTTTTTTATTGCTGATAAAACTCTCAATTTCTTTCTTTGGGTTTTGACTGCATTCATCTGTTGTGAGACCACAAACTTGGCACATCTGACATTTAACAAGTTGGATGTTATTTTCCCCATTACATCGTAACTGTCTCTGGTTCCTATTCATAGCTCCTAAAAACCTTAAACCAGGCTTGGTGGCATGCACCTGTAATCCCAGCACTCAGGGGACTGAGGCAAGAGGATCATTGCAAGTTCAAGCCCAAACTGGGCTACAAAGTGAGCTCAAGGCCAGTGCTAACTTCATGTGAGACCCTGTCCCTAAAAGACAAAACAACAACTTGTAACTTAATCTGGACATGGTTGTGCATGCCTGTTATCCCAGCACTCTGACAGACATGAATGACAAATCTGAGCCTACACTAAGCAACTTGGTAAGATCCTTTCTCAAAATAAAAATGGACTTGGATGCTGCTCAGTATAAAGGCCTAGATTCAATACCCTGTATGGGAGTGGGTGTGAGTATGGTTTTTAAAATACCTCTAGAAAGTTAAAGGTGGCATGAATATC